TGTCGGGGATCCCTCCCTGCGGGGCAGGGGTTGTAACCAGAAGCAGTGAGGGAGCTGCTGCCCGGACAGAGGGACAAGGAGCTGAGCGCAGGAGTGTGCTGCCCCTGCGTCCTGCGCCCGGCAGATTGACAATCCGTGGCGATGGAACGGTGTTCTTGGGGCTGTAACTGCACTGAACCAGAATTGCTTATTTCTCCAGGCCTTTCTAGCTTTCTGAAGGCTGAACGTGTGGGATCTGCCTGGTACTCCTGGAAAAAACTTCGGCCATGAGATACCACATTTAAAGCATGGCCGCTTTCCTCAGCTCTTTTTGGCCGCCTGGATACCTACTGCACCTGGAGGTCAATCATGCCGTGTTAAAATGTCTACACTGACCCTCCATTAGGTTGTGGTTCCTCTCGATGGGGTGAGCAGAGTAAAGATTGTTGTTGCTGGAAGGAGGACCTCCCATCTCCCTTCCTCCTGCCTTATCTGTGCGGGACCCTTTTTTGGGCTGATTCAACGCACCAGTTTGACGGAAGGCTGGTGAAATTGCTCGCAGGAGGTCCTGACTAGGACTGGGGCCCTTGCGAAGAAAGGGAGGCGAGACCTCTCCTGACTAGCTCAACTGCTTGTGGAAATGTAGCCTGACTCAGTCAAGTGTTATTTAGAATATTTACATGCCATTGCAGGAAACTTGTAATTCAAGAGCTATCTTTTTGCTTTGTTTGAAGCTTGGTGAAGTTTTGGGTTTGCTTTCAGCCTGCTGCTGGCTGATAAACCCAACTTCTGTGCTGAGAAGCATGCTAGATGAATTTCGCGCTGGAGTGTGGGAAAAAGCTACTGTGGTTGTCTTTGCGTTTATGGTTTGATTTGTTTTGCAGTTCTTCTTCCCAATGATAAAACTGTGCAAGTTGCTCTTTCTAATGGGTCACATGAGACTTTATGTAGCTCAGGTGAAGAAACCGCTGTGCCTTTTGGTCCGTGTGCTACGAGTGGGGAACTCCAGGCCCATTCAAACCTCGATCAGAAGTTACACAGAGAAATTCCCAGTGGAGAAGTTGAAATGTTGCTGTAGTTCCTCACACGAATACCAAGTTGCTAATAAAAAGGGATGTTTCCATCCCCAGGCAACTTACTCTCTGAAATTAATGTTCTAAAGAAGACAGAAGTTCAGCTGTCCCAACCAGTCATACAAGTTTTCAGTGTTTTTGGTTTGCTGTTGCTGGTGTTGTAAGAGGGGGAAAAAAACCTCGTAGACTTGCCTGTTTCTTTTTTTCAAAATCCTAGGTTTTTGATGATGTCATATAATGGTTTTGACATTCAGTTATATTTATAAAGCATAATTATTTAATTGGATAAGTGGGGTTGGCATGCACCAGGACAGTTTTATTTGGATCATGAAACCTTTTTGTATATGTTTTTTGTATTTTTAGGAGCATGAAAGCCTTCGATGTTTGTCCTGCAATTTTGATGGAACGTGTTGTAGTAAGCATTTTCTGCAGTGGTTTGCAGTCCTCACTGTCAGGCATGCAAAGCTGCTTTTCCAGCTCCCTAACTAAGAAGTAAAATCCTCCCTGGTAAAGGAGGTGGACCAGAGCAAATATTTTCTGCACTGTGAATTTCCATTTACTAAAAGACAGAGAACTGGCATTTTAGTTTTGTAGTTATTATCCTCTTAACACATGAGCAAAACTGATCTTTGTCCTGCTATCGTGGCTAAAAGCTGCGAGTACAATTGGGAGAGAGGGAACTATTCATAAACAGGACTCAAGAGTATGGGGGCAAAATCATCCTCTTCCTGTCATCCCATTCTTTTTGGCAGTAGGAAGATGATGGAAGAGAAACCTTGATGGTTCTAGCATTGAGAGGTGCTTGGAAATGACTTTCTTGTCACAGAAAATGAAGTTTCTGAATGGGATCTGCGGTCTTACAGGAAACCTTAGGTGGTAAATGGAGTCACTAGACCTTTTCTCTGGGGCTTTGTCCCTAGCTGTAATGGTGGCCACTTTCTGCCTGATGACTTTAGTCCTGAGGATGAGTAGAAAAGCTGGCAACTTTTTCAAACTCTCCTTATCCAAACAAGCATGGGGAATCCCCCTTCTCCTCATCGCTAGCAAAGCATGGGAGGTTTGCTTATACCTCTCAAGGACGGCTCTTTTACTGTGAAGTCTTGCTGGGACTGTTATCTGTCCTCTAGTGAAAGAAACTCAGAATTGACTTTGCCTTTCTTCCCTGTAGTTATCTTTGCTTTGGTGTTGATTTTATTGCTGCTCTTGTCCTGTGCAGCATGGATCTTCCCTTGCAGCTCTCCTCTTGGCTCCCATGTTTGCCGCTTTATATCTCTTTGAGGGGACAGGAACCTTACTAATAACATGAAAACTAATGAAAGGAGCTCATTCATATGCCTTACTGTCACAGGACTACTTTGATGCTTTTTTTTGTGATACATCTTTTAATTTATAAAATGAATTTTGTTACATATATGTATGAATACTTATTGTACAATATGGAAGCAATTTGTACAAGGGAAGCATCTTTCTAATTATAGCTCAAAACTAAGTGTTTGAGAGTTTTGGCTGATACAAACCATCACCCATTTTGGTCTTTATTAGCTATTTGTTTTCTTAGAACATGCTGTAAGTTATAAGGTGTCTGCATCTGAGAACTTGGCTTTGATTAGAGGCACTGGGAGGGTAGCGTGCTGGGTCCCTTCACTCAGACTTTCCAGTACACAGGAGTACATGATAAATCCTCTTGCTGCAGGTCTTGTCCACAAAAACAAATTGCTGAGGCATGAATGCTGCGAGAACGGCATTGGAAATAGATTGCAGATGAGTAAAAATGGTTAACAGTTTTGTTTCATGATGAATTGTCAAGGATTATGGGCTGTTGTTCTCTGAAGTATTTTAACTTTGTGCTGAGTAGCTCAACAATAATGCATTCACTTGGTTATTTACAAATATTGCAGGAGCAAGAGAAAAGCTAACATTTTAAGTGAGTGGTGACTCCCCTTTGTCTTTGCAAGTAGAGCAAAGAGCCACATCACGTATTCTGTAGATGAGGAAATTATGAAGCTGGGCTTTTTCTGTCACCTTTAATATTACCTTCTTACAGTAGCGGTGCATGGCGTTTGGAACTGTAAGCTTTGGATGAGTTGAGCGAGCAGAGAGTAATCGCATCTTAGCAGGGCTTATCGGCTGGGTATGTTTTGTGAAAATCCAGTTTCTGGGTATTGCATCAGTGAAGAAAGATGCAAGTCTTGAACTGTTATTATGAGTACATGAGTTATTTTCATTCAAAGTCCTTGCTGGGTTTGGCAAGTCCTTCTTTTCCTGCATTTCCAGCTGAGAATCCAGAAGTGGTTCTGCCTGGACACTGAGCCGTTCTTGCGCCTGCCATCTGGTGGCCAGATACCACAGCTAACTGGACGGGTTGCAAGAACCCAGCGGAGGCTCTGTCTTAAGGGTACTCGAGAAAAAAGTAGATCCTTTCCTCACTGAGCTGTGTCTCAGATGGCGATCGGTTTTTGCATGGTTTCCCCGGAGGAGAAATAAAATGTGTAAGTTCTGTTACCATCTTTCTTCTCTTTCCTAGGATATGATGGAGCTCCTAGAGGAAGATCTCACCTGCCCCATTTGCTGTAGCCTGTTTGATGATCCTCGTGTCCTGCCCTGTTCACACAATTTCTGCAGAAAGTGTCTGGAAGGAATTCTTGAGGGAAACGTGCGGAATGTGCTTTGGAGGCCATCCCCTTTCAAATGCCCCACGTGCAGGAAGGAAACTCCCGTTACTGGAGTCAACAGCTTGCAAGTCAACTATTCCCTGAAAGGTATCGTGGAGAAGTATAACAAAATCAAAGTAACTCCGAAAATGCCTGTGTGCAAAGTGCACAGCGGGCAACCCCTTAACATTTTTTGCCGGACAGACATGCAGCTCATCTGTGGGGTTTGTGCCACCCGTGGCGACCACACAAAGCACATGTTCTGTTCTATCGAAGAAGCCTATTCCCAGGAGAAGCGGGCTTTTGAAACCCTGTTTCAGGGCTTTGAAACTTGGCGTTGCGGAGATGCCCTCTCGCGGCTGGATACCTTAGAAACCAGTAAGAGGAAAGCTCTGCAGATGCTGACCAAAGATTCTGACAAAGTGAAGGAGTTCTTTGAGAAGCTGCAGCACACGCTGGAGCAGAAACGAAATGAGATTCTCTCTGACTTTGAGACCATGAAGCTTGCAGTGATGCAGGCCTACGATCCAGAAATCAATAAACTGAACACAATTCTGCAAGAACAACGGATGGCTTTTAACATCGCAGAGGCCTTCAAAGATGTGTCTGAACCCATTGTATTTTTGCAACAGATGCAGGAGTTCAGGGAAAAAATCAAGGTGCTCAAAGAAACCCCTTTACCTTGTTCCAGTGTGGACATCAGCCCTACAATGAAGAGCTTTGATACCAGCCAGTGGAATGGAATAAAACTAGTTGATGTGGACAAACTTTCCTTGCCTCAGGAAAACAACACTCTTAAATTCAAGATTCCCTCAGTCTTTTCACGCAGATTTATAGTGACCTCTCTCATTTGCCTGCTTATTCTTGCTGTCACCAGAATGTCCTTTGTGGAGTCAGTCGTTGACAATCTCCAGTGCTGGAAATCTCAATTCTTTACAATTAGCTTGTCCTATTTGGCAGATACAGTGGAGATAGCAGATCATGCAGTCTTTTACTGGGAACAGATGACAGATGGAGCTTCACTTCTAAGAGAAAAGTGTAAAAACTATACGTTGGTTGTACTGGATAATGTTGCACAGTTTGTGTGCAAATATAAACTGTTGTGAAGTCCCTGCTGAAACTAAGAGAGATCTGGTGAAGAAAACAGAGAACTTCTTAAAATTAATTGTTTTTTTAAGACTTCCAGTAAAAACATTCAAAGATTCGAAATGTTTCCAAAACATCCATGCTGTTCACATAGTTTGAGCACTGATAAACTGGAAGATGAAGTGGAGCTTTGAAAAACACAGTTTTCTGGATTCTTCTTGCAGTGGTGATTATGGGAATATTATTCATTGTAAATCATTTTTCTTACCAAAATATAAGGCCAAACTGTGTACTTAGTTTAATGTTAATGTAATTGTAGAATAAGATAAAAAGTGTCACTTCCTAAAAGGTCAGAGGTAAAAAAAATTGTTTTCTAACTGGGAGGTGGTTTGGAAAGAGGAAGAACAGTGGTGGTTGAGAAGAGCGCTGTAGTGAGAGGCTTGGCGAGGGCTGCCCTTCCACTGCAAAAGCCAGAGTGCATCATTCACCTTCTGGAACCATTTTCTATCTGAGGATGTTACTTCTCACTGAAATAGATATATGTATTTTTTTGTATAACCAAATGTTGTAACTATCCTGTGCATTCAGATAACTGCAGATGTTGGTTATCGTTTACATGTTCTGTACAAAAATATCTTCAGGGCAAGCATAGATTCTAGGGGTAAAGAGAAATTCGTTGAGGTTGATAAGAGAAGAACAAACTGCAAGATCATATGTACTTTGCAGATAGTACGTACTTTGCAGTTTACTTTTCCAACATCAAATTGTTGGGGTAACTGAGCTGTCTTGCTAGATCCGTGTTTCTCTGAAGCCACACTTTCTTATAAAGTGGCCTTAATGTAAACAATTTAGTGCGGTGAAAGGCACGCACGGGTCAGCCACAGGAAGGCAGCTTGCGCTCTAGCCCTGCAAAGGTGGCAGGTAGAGCAGTTTCTTTCCCGTCCCTCTCTGTCTCTCTAGATCAGAATTCCAAAAGCCAGGAAAAATGATGGGATGATTCCTTGGAACACAGTGCGTAACGTGACAGGAGTATGGATGTTGTTGGTGTTTGGAAGTGCTTTAGCATTGGAACATACATAGGCTCTTCTACTGTTAATTTTTGTGTACCTTGTTTCAGGAATTAATGGAATGTTTTGAGTGTATTGACTTGGCCATAGGATAAGAGTGATTTAAAGTGAGTTCTCTGAAGTGCCCTTCTTTAAGAGCATATGATACTGAAATATATTGCTTGAAGCACATCTAACGTCTTTTTGCGGTGGTCCTGTGAACAGCAATATATAGAATGAAAATATTTAGTTGACATTTCTGGGAAGCAAACGCAATGCGTGCCATGCTTTGGGGATATTCGTTGGCCTCTCTCAAGGTTTAGTAAGTTGTGACGGTCAGTTCACTGTCTTCCAGTAGTCCTTGCAAGCTGTTCATTTCAAAAATAAAACATCAAATTCCAAGAATCAAAGTTTCCAAGCAACCAAACCCTGCAAACAAAACTATTGTACATGATATTTACATCTTTGTTGCCTGGGAGTCCTGTCGCTGCTCCACACCTCACTCCAAACACTTGCTAAAAGCACTGAATGGTTCTTGCAGCTGCAGATGCCTTGCAGTTTAGGAAAGATCAAGTCACAAAACACGTAGATCGGAGAGTTACAATTCTTGAGTGGCTGAGATAGTGATGAGTAATCGAGAGGTGGTCGTTCTGAGCGTGGGAGGTGTGAGATTTGTAACCCGGGCTTCTACCTTGCAGCAGTTCCCTGAGTCCAAGCTAGCACGGATGTTGAATGACGATGACCAGGAATTTAAACTGGTGAATGGGGAGTTTTTTGTGGACAGAGATGGAACTTTGTTTAGTTACATCTTGGACTTCCTGAGGACTCTCCAGGTCTCCTTACCCATGGATTTCTCAGACTATCAGAGGCTGCAGAGAGAAGCAGAATTCTATGGGCTCTACCCTCTGGCTGACCTCCTGAGCCAGGAATACTTGCTGAAGCCGAGGCTGGAGATCTTGGAAGTGCGTTTCTCTCTCCAAGAGATGCAGGCCTTTTTCCGGATCTTTGGTTCCTGCAGTACCACTGTTGAGACACTAGCTGAACAGATCACTGTGTTTACAGGGCAGCAGTCAGGACAGAGCTGGAACAGCCCTTTTCCTTCTCAGAAACCACTCGTTCCACTACCTTTGGAAAGACCTTCTCATCACGACTTGGTTTTTCAGTGTGGTACTGACTACTCTGCTGGTGACCAGTTTGTGGCCAGGTACTCTCCCTAGTGTGACTTCTCATTATGGAAATGTCTTCGTGACTTCTAGTTCATGAAGTCCATGCTACGTGCTAGCAAAGCTCATTTTAAAGAAAGTATTGGACAGCTGTCTGAGAGAAAAGAAACATGTTTCCTTCTTTCTGCTAGTTTAATGTTATCATCTTCTAGTTCTAAAATACCCAGTTTAATTTCAGTTACACTGAAATTGTAATTTGAAATTGGGGTTGTTCAGCCTGGAGAAGGCTCCAGGGAGACCTTATTGCAGCCTTTCAGTACTTAAAGGGGGCTTATAAGAAGGATGGGGACAGACTCTTTAATAGGGCCTGTAGCAATAGGACAAGGGGTAATGGGTTAAACTAAAATAGGGTAGATTCAGACTGGATATAAGGAATAAATTTTTCACAGTGAGGGTGGTGAAGCACTGGAACAGGTTGCCCAGAGAGGTAGTGGAGGCCCCATCCCTGGCAACATTCAAGGTCAGGTTGGACGGGGCTCTGAGCAACCTAATCTAGTTAGATGTCCCTGCTCTCTGCTGGGGGGTTGGACTGGATGACCTTTAAAAGGTCCCTTCCAACCCAAATAATTCTATGATTCTATGATCTGCCTGTTCTTCAACTTTCTAAAATACTGTTCTTGGTGCTTGCTTTTGAGTTCTGTTGGGTCTTTCTTTCTCTCCGCCCTTTCCTCCTCACTCGCTCCCCCAGGCTTTGGAATTTCATGGCATCAGTGACCTTCTAGAAGACTTGAAAAACGCAGAGTAAAATGAAGCAAAGGAAACAAAATAAATCAGGAGTGAACTACTGGAGAAGCCTAAAATCTCCACTAGTTCATGGTCCAAAAGGCTTTCATATGGAAAAGAGTAAAATAATGCCTAAACAGGGTTGAAAACGCCAGTAGAACTAAGATTGCAATGCAGGGACTGGAAAGCTTTTGTAGAGTCTTTTATTGGGGGGAGGGAGAAGGGGTAGATTATTAACTATGTGCTACACAGTGCATTTTCTTTGAATTCAGAGCCAGGTTCTGTTTTTAAGATTACTGTATATCAGTGATTTTTGTGATAGCAGTATCATATTCTAACGACAACTGACATTTTTTAAACAAGCTTTTGCTGGATGTCTCTATTGTATGGAGACACATTCTTACTGTATAGGAAAATGTAACCTAATTTGTCCTCTGTGGCTGTTAGAACATCTGGAATTTTATGGAATTTTCATTGAAATATTTCCAAAAGGGTTATTCTCTCTGGATATATGAATCAACACAGAACACAGCGGTCTTTCGATTATTTAAAAAAAAAAAGTGAATAAAGTTTATCTTTCTTCTAGATTTCTTTAGCTAAGCAAGTAGAAGAAAAACTACTTCCTGTTTGCGAAACAACGTATATTTATGTGCCAAACCTTAACTTTATAATGTATTACTAATTTTAATGGACTAACAATTGGTTGAGTAGGTTATGACAACTTAAACAGTGGGGAAAATATTCCTGATTCTTTCCTTTATCTCTTCAGACTTGGTAAAAATCTTCCTCTGCGGATCAATAGAAAAGCTTATCTTGAGTAATGAAACAGGTCGAGTTTGATTATGTTGCCTGCTGAATTTCTGTCGACTTAGTCTTTGTGGTGACATGGACTCTTTTGCCTTTGTCGTGCTTTCTGTGAACGTTTGGTGTGCTTGGCTGTGAACTGTGGAACAGTTTCACCCCTGTCAGCTTATGTATTTTGTAATAGTATTTTTACCTGACTTCTGTTCATTGAAATGTCTGGATAGATTCTCAAACCATACTTTATATCAAAGTAAAATCATTTGAGGCAACGTGAAAATAATTTTCATACTTGTTACCACAAGACCTGCTGTACAAGGTAACATTGCAATAAATGTCACTGTTTGTAGAGAGAGATCCCGTGTAATGAAGAGTGATGCTATTGGGGTGAATTTGACTTCAATGTCCTTTCCGTCATTTACTCTTAGTGAAAAACTGCTGCAGCATTATGTAGAGCATGCCATTCACCTCTCCTCCATTAAATGAAATGAGATGGAGGTTATCACAGCTATTTCTTAAGAAAGTACATTTTGGTGTGGGGGTGAAGGAGAAGTGCTTCTTCCCCAACATGTAACTGGATGAACTGAGAATTACTGTTCTTATAATGAGGGAAAGAGCTAACCCAGAGAGAGGCAAATCCAACACACAGAATATCAGATAAGATAATACAGCAGCATTAGGTCTGGCCCCGGCTGGGGCCCGGGTTTTTTTTTTTTTTTTTTTTTTTTTTTTAAAAAAAAAAGGATTTCATGGTCCAAGAAGTAATTAAAGTGTGTTGTAACTGCTTTTTTCTTATTTTAGGTATGTTTCCATAAAGCCTGATAATAGAAAGCTGATTAATGGTACTAATGTGCTAGGCCTGCTGCTTGACACTTTACTTAAAGACGGATTTCGCCTCATAAGCACCAGGACAGTCTCCAGTGAAGAAAAAGTCGAATGCTGCAGTTTTGAAAGGATGAAGAGGCCAGCGGGCCTTACCGTCATGGTGAACCAAACCCCAGGGAGCTCTGGGGTAGCACAGGCAAAGAGAAGCCAAGTGCAGAAAGGGAAATAAAGGCTTTTCCTTTCATCTTTTGAAGGTGGGAGAGGGATGGGTCAGCGCTAGTGGCCTTTTTTTGTTGGCTTGTTTGAAGCTGCGACTATTGAGGGAAGTAACAAACAAACAAATTTTTTTTCAAGTATTCGGAGGAAAACAAATTGCTTTCCTGCCTTTTACCGCTCCACCCT